CTGACAGTACCACAATAGCAGCTGCGGGCGGGAGCGAGGTTGGACGAGGATGGTGCGGCTGCCCTGGTCAGCGACCTGCCCCGCGCAGACGCCGCAGCTCGGTGGCATGCCGCACGCGCCGCACGCGCCGCACGCGCCGCACGCGCCGCCTAGAGTCCACCCGAAGGACGGGCCGTTCGTCCGGCGTCAGTTAGGCGACGGGGGACGTCACAAGGGGGGGGGGGGGGGTAAAGGGGGGGGGGCACCGGCAGCACAAAAGTGTCTAGGGGAGTGTCTAGGACGTGTCTAGGCACCTCCTCCCCCGTAGAGTGGCAGCGGCCCCGACCCCTCAAAGTGTGGCGGCACCGCGCAGCCGCCTGGGGGGGGAGCACTTGAGCATGGCTCGTCAGCTTCCGACAGAGCAGCCTCCCTAGCGGCGCGGCCGCCTCGGTGCTGTCTCTCGGCCATCTCTCGGCCACCTCTCGGCCACCTCTCGCCTCGGTGGTAGTTACTGGTAGCTCTGCTCCATATCTCCCCATATCTCCCCATATCTCTCGCCTCGGTGGTAGTACTGGTAGCTCTGCTCCATGCCGTACGCCGAGCCTGCGTCAGAGCCACCGGCTAGCACTCACTAGACAGAGAAGAGCGCCAGGAAGAAGGACTGGTGACTGCTCTCTCTCGCGGGCGGGCGAACCTGCGCACTGCGGCGCCGCCGCCTGCGGCCTCCTCACCCCTCCCCCCTGCCGCAGCACCGCCTCCCCGCCCGCCTGCGTAGCACAGGTTTGCGCACGAATCAACACACACACCACACACACACACCACACACACCACACACCCCAATGTGAGGGCGGGCAGCTGGCTGGCTGCAGCACACGCCTGCACACCTCGCCTCCCCGCCGCCGCCCGCCCCCGCCCTCCCTGCGCCATCGAAGGACGGGGCGCGGCGGCGGCGGCGGCGACGGCGGCGGCGCGGGCGACTGCGCGGTCCGAAGAGCTGACCTGTGCATCAGTCCATTCCCCGTCAGTGCCCCCGCGTTGCATTGCCTCCTCGCCGGTCGGATAGACTGACCAGATTCCACGCATCCGTAGCCGACGGCGCGAGAGCCCCGTCCGGGTGCATCGACGCCACGCTCGCCCCCGCCGCCAGCCTCGAGGAGCCTGCCACAGACCGGATGCTGCTCATGGCGAATGGACCGATCGCCCTTCGGCCCGCCAGCCGCGACATATATGTGTGTATGACATATGTGTGTATGACGCGCCTATGTGACTCGCCGAGATTACCCGAGATTACCCGAGATTACCCGAGATATATGTGTATGACGCGCCTAGGTGACTCGCTCGGTCGCAGTGCCGAGGTGGCGGCCGCCTCTGCCCCCCCTGCGCATGCCAGGGAGGCGCCGGCTCCCTTCGGCGCTGCCGCCGCCCTCCTCACCGCGGGAGGCTGCCGCCTGCTCCGGAGGTGCGGGGGCGGACACGACGGGCCATGAGCCGTGGAGATGCGGGCGGGAGAGGAGTCAAGATCTGGGCGAGATGCGGTCGAGATCTGGGCGAGATGCGGGCGGGAGATGCGGGCCTGGTTCCGTCTCCGCCATCGACGAGTTGCGAAGAGAGCTGCCGCTTCAGATACTGCCGCCCGCCTGCTGTCGCCTCGAGCTGTGAGGAGGCGGAGGTGTGAGGAGAGCCGGTGGAGTGCCGCAGACCTCCTGTCTGTGAGCTGTCCGGGCGGACAGAGGCGGCGACGCAAGCCTGTCAACCCGTGAAGAAAGAATGACGCGCCATGGGGAGCTCATCGAGCACGGAGGCGGCGGTGCGAGCAGCCGGCCCGCAGGCGGGGCCGTGAAGGGCCGGAGGTGTGAGGAGGGATGCAGGTGTGACGCCGCCTGCTGTGCGGCCACTCCGTCGGCAACTGCGGCGGCGGCCGCCCGTTGTCGGAGGCACGTGGCGGAGGGCGTGGTGCGGCCTGACCGACCCGCCGGCCGCGAGGACTGGCAGAGCTGCGCCTGGAGCAAGCTCACCTGTGGGGAGGCTCCAGGAAAGGTCTGGACAGGGACGCGCCGAGAGCGCCTCTTCTCAGCCGCCCACCTTGTCCTCGAGGTCACGCACGTACTGCTTCTTCTGCTGCCGGTGATGCGCCGCCATCAGCTGTGCCTGGACCTCGTCCACGTTCCGCTGCGCCCCGTGGGGCCCCGGCGGGCACTGCACGCCTCCACCACCACCGAAGGGGGCGCCAACGCCCGGCGACGAAGACGGCGTCGCCTCGCCGACTGCCCAGCCGAAGCAGGAGACTAGATCGTCATCGGCGAGCTTGCAAGGGTCCTCAACGGCGCCGTCAAAGAGAGCGGAGGAGCCGAACTCGTGGTCCATGCCTCTTGGACCGACCCAGTTCAGAACCCGACGTGCACGGCGGGCACTGCACGCAAAAATACTTTTTTCACACCCCCAAAACGGGGTGTGTGTGTGTGTGTGTGAGTGTCACACACAAAACGGGGTGTGTGTGTGTGCGAGCGCGCTCATCTCGATCGTCAAGGCGTCGCTACGCGCGGTCTTCCGCGGGGGGAGCTTCGTCGACGGGCGCGGGATCGCGGCGCGGCTGGTGCTGGGGCGGCGATGCCTCCGGCTGTTTGCGGCGGGCGGCTTGCTGCTCGCGGCGATGGCGCAAACTCGTCTCGCTGCACACCAAGGGCTTATGCTCTGGGCGAGATGTGAGGCGCATGCGCCCGGGAGGGGAGGGAGCATGCGTAACGACGCTGCTAGAGATGCCTTTCGGGGCCCAGAGATAAAACTTCTGATGCCATGCATGACCTAGTAGTGTCCCCAGCTATGGGCGTGTCCACGTTGGAGCCAGGTGTGGTGTGGGCGCGAGAATAGCTCCGCCGTTAATGGAGGCAACCGATGCGAGTCGACTGGTGTGTGTCGTCGTGGTTTCGTATCAAGAATACTCACTCACAAAAATGAATTCACAAAAACGCGGCTCGAGAGGCGGCTCCCGAGGACGCACGGCTGGCACCCGTGGCGCGGGGCTCGTCTTCGGAAAGACCAGGAAGCAGGATCGCTCTACTGGCAAACTTCTGGCTGACACGCGCGCCCGGTCGAGCCTTCGGCGGGCGCGCTGCGGTCGCACGCCTACCCAAGTCATATGCCACGGCGTGCGATCTAGATTCAGCACACGCGCCTCTGCTCGCAACCATCCAATGAACTGTCGTCACCCATGAGTGCGAGTTAGGGCTAGCGGCTGGCCAATAGCCTGTGAGGAGGGCGTCCATAGACACCTCACAAGACCCCACACACGGTCTCGTCCGTGCCTTGCGGCCGGCGACGAGATTGCTAGAGGCGGAGCAAGCCTGCTCTAGTCTCACACGTTCGCCCCTGTCGCCTGTCTGTGTTGTTGTGCTGTTGTTTGTCTCTTGGCACCTTGGAGTGCTGGGGGGGGCGAGTGTGGGGGGACGTGGCCTGACAGAGTGATGTGTACGCCCACTCAGGATGTGGGGCAGCCCGCTGGCTGTGTGTCTTGTGAGCTTGTTTGTGTCTGTGTGTCGCTCGTGCGTGTCGTCATCATCTGTCCAGCGTCCACCCATACCGCGTCGGTGCCAGTCCGAGCCTGACCTGTTCTTCACCTTCCTACATACATACATACACAACACACAGGAACCAAACAAGTATCCCGCCGTCTTGCAGCTACTCGTCCTCATCGCTGCCGTCAGAAGAGACTGGCGTGGGCGGACGGCTCGCCCACGCCTCGATCTTCTTGGGCAGCAGCTGGTTCGACAGGTCCTCTCCGTGGCCTAGACAACCATTTTTGCCCTTTCCCCAGGTAAAGAAGGCCCCTTTGGCCGTGATGGCGATTTTGTAATTTCCTCCAGCCGACCCGGGGGGGACGGGCCGCCCCGCCAAGGCCTTGACCTTTTTGGGCAGCAGGTGTTTTTTCTTGTTTCCGTGGCCCAGTTGGCCCCAGTTTTCCTTGCCCCAGTTTCAAAAGGGCCCTTTGGCGGTTATGGCGATTCTGTGGTTGTGGTTTCCCCCGACAAAAGGAAGACGCGTTGGCCAGCCCGAGGAAAGGAGGGAAACAAACCCGTTCGGGAGGGTAAAGTTTTGCGCCCCGCTTCCCGGGGTTTTTTCTTTTTCGGGACAGCCCCCCCCTTTTGAGGCAGGAAAGTGGGGGTTTCCCCGTTCGCCCAGCCCATTTGGACCCCTTTGCCGGCCGCCCATTCCCCCTTCCCTTTTTCCACCTTGAGGAGCCGATGACCGTTGCTTTTTCCCTGGCAGCCGGCCCGGGGGCCCCCGAGCCCCCCCCCCCCCCCCCCCCCACACACACACACACGCACGCACGCACGCACGCACGCACGCACGCACGCCGCGCGAGCGCCGCGCAGCGGCACACCTGCTCAAAAGAAAAAGAAAAAAGGGAATGAGGAGACCAGCAGGGGAGACTCCCCGCCTATGCAAGCCCCAGAGAGGGGGCCGCCATCGCCGAAGCTGTGCCAAAGCATAACTCCAAAACCCGCAGCGGCCCAGGGGGCCTTGGGGGCAGCCCGCCGGACCGCCGCCGCATGGGGCTAGGCTCCAGAAGATGAGTGGAATTGATGAAGTGGGCCGTCGTCCATGCCTCCCCTCTATACGTAGGTAGGTAGGTAGTAAGGTGAAGAACAGCCAGTATACGTCAGAGTGGGACCTACGCCGCGCCGGGTAAGGGGCGCGCCCGGTCCTCGACGGAGCTTTAGGTTAGGTTAGGTAGAAAGGTGAAGAACAGCCAGGCTCGGACTGGACACCAACGCGGTATGGGTGGACGCGAGACAGATGATGACGACACGCACGGAGCCGTATTTCTTCCTGTTCATTGCCGTGATCATCCTTGGTCGCCTGCGCCGAACATGCGCCTGGCAACATGCTGGCACGGTGTAGAATGTCCCAAAGCACGGACTTGTGTGATCGCGGAAGTTTTTCTTCATTCACGTTGAATTTTGAGCGTCTCCCTTCGCTGGGTGGGCTGTGCTGTGTGCTGTGCACCGCTGCCCTTGCTCCCGATGATCCTCGACGAAAACGAGCAGAGCAATCGGACGAACGAGCAGCCCGAGACGCCATGGGCACAGATCGTCCGCAAGAGCACCGACGGTCCCCGCGCCACGCCCGGGCTCGCCACGCGCATGTTTGGTGTGGCGCTCGAGACACCGGTGGTGCAGCGGGCAGGCGCGAGCGAGGCGCCGACGCCTCTCCCTGCGACACCGCTGGCAGCGGAGCAGCCTGCACCTCCTCCACCGCCCGCCGCCGCCGGTGAGCCAGACTCCTTCGGTTTACCTGCCGACTCCTCCTTCGCTTTACCTGCCATTCGCACCGCCGCCGACGACCTCCGGGAAGGTGGGCGGATGAGCAGGCGAACGGCGTCGCGCGGGAAGGCGGAGCTTCCGGCCGAGCCGATCCCGCCCGCCGTTGTCTTCAGCCCACCGACTGCTCCGCCGCCCCGGCCTCTGCCTCTGCGCGCAACGGCGGCGGCGGCAGCAGCAGCAGGAGGGGGGGAGGTCCCTCTCTCTGCGGCGGCGGAAGAGGCTCTTGCTGCGGCAGCGGGAGGGGCTAGCGTGAACGAGGGCTCCCAAACGGCCGCGTACCCTCCGCCCGAGACGCCCGCTTGCGCCGTTGCGAGGCGCCTCTCCTCTCCACCCTCCGTCTCAAAGCGGCAGGCGGCACAGCGCTCTCCACCGCAGGCACGCCTCGACCCTCCCGTGGCGCATCCACTCACTGGCATAGCATTACTGGACTCGTTGTCCCAGCAGGCCAACCGCGCCCTCGAGCCGTCGCAAAAGAAGGCGAGGAACCGCCTCCGCTACCCGGAGCCACCGAATGCCCGCAGCGCCGCCGCCGCCGCCGCAGGCTGCCCGCCCGCCGCCCTCCCCTCCCGCCGGGTGGCGAGGGAGGGGCAGCAGCCGAGGCGGCGAGCAGGGCAGCAGCAGTTGCCTCCGCCTCCGCCTCCGGCCTCGGTCCAGCTCCACTTTGCCGCGCATCCCTTCCCGCCGCTGCGGCAAGAGGCGGTTCGGCTGCTGGACACCGCCCTCTTCGCCGCCGTCCGCGGCGAGCTCACCACGCAAGAGGCGTCCACCCACGCTACAGTACCCTCTCAGTGTGCCATTCCCCTTCACTCACAGGCGAGCTCGCCGCCGCAGCCGCCGCCGACCATCCCGCGTGCGCGATTCGCTCCCGCATCCAGGCCGCCGTGGCTAATCTCCCCACATCTCCCCGCATCTCCCCAGATCCCCCCATATCCCGCATCCAGGCCGCCGTGGCGTCGGTCCACCCAGCAGCCGCCGTCTTCTGCTACGGCTCTCGCGCCACCGGCCTCGCCTCCGCCGCCTCGGACGTCGACTTGGTGGCCGTCGGTCCGCATGCTCCCCCTCAGCCACACTGATGCCGATCACTCCAGAGGGGATGATGGCAGGTGGTCGTCGGTCTGCCTGTCTCCGCCGGGTCTGCGGCACCGTCCGTCGAGGGCCAGGTCGAGGCGCTGCAGTCACTGCAGCCGCGCCTCGAGGCGATCGGTCTCGCTGCGACCCTGCAGCGCTGCGCCGTCCCCGTCCTCAACATCGAGGTCTAGACACACATATATAGTGGTCAGTCAGCGTTGATGCTGGGCGGCTCCCGCAGCCGCGCCCCACCAGTCACCAAACCGTGCGCGTGGTCTGATGATAGGTTGCGGCGGCGGGCGGCGGGGCGCCACTCAAGCTGGACCTCTCTCTCCAGACGCGGCTTCACTCCGGCCTCGCCCCCCCCGCCGCCATGTCCCGCTCTGTGCGGACGCCCCCTTCCTCACCGCGTCCAGCCATCCCCCCCCGTAGGCCTCGCCGCCGCCCAGCTCGTTCGCTGGCTTGCCTCGAGCCTCCCGCCCCTCCGGCCGCTGGTGCACACACACACACTGCCCAAGAGCAGCTCGCCGCTGCGCCGCTCCATGGGAGGAAGAAGCCACTCCTCCCCTCCTCCACTCAGGTCGTGCTGCTCAAGGAGCTGCTGCGGCGGCACGGCCTCAAGGCGACGTACACGGGCGGGCTCTCCTCGTATGCCCTCACCCTCATGGCCGCTTCCTTCCTCCTCCTCGCGCCGCGCCTCCGCTCCGAGCGGCAGCAGCAGCAGCAGCAGCAGCAGCAGCAGCAGCAGCAGCAGCAGCAGCAGCAGCAGCAGCAGCAGCAGCAGCAGCAGCAGCAGGTCGGCGTGTGTGCGCCCGACGCGCCGCCGCCCGCCCCGCCGGCGCCGCCGCCCGCCCCGCCGGCGCCGCCTCCCCTCTCGCAGCTGGTGCTCGAGTGCCTCCACTTCTTCGGCTGCGTGTACGACCCGGAGTCACACGCGCTCGGCTGGTCGACCGCAAAGGGCGGCCGGCCGGTCGCGGTGTTGGTGGGCCGCGCCTCCTCCCCCGGCCTGGCCACCTTCGCGCTGCAGCCGCTGCTCGTGCTCGCCCCATAGATGCGAGGGGCGGACCCACATCTCCCCACATCTCCCCACATCTTGAGGCGTAGATGCGGAGCGCGACAGACCCGTGCTCCGACACACACGAGGGCGACACTCACTCGGCGGCACTCACTTGTCTCTCCAGCCCTTTTCGCTCACTCACCGATTGTGGCGCACTCACGACACAGGTGCTCGACCCGCTCGATGACGCGAACAACGCGGGCAAGGGCTGCTACCGCTTCTGCCAGGTGCAGGCGCTCTTCCGTGCGGCGCTCGCCGCCGCCGCCTCCGCCGCTGGCGACGCGGCCGACCGCGCGGTGGCGAGCGGCCAGGCGGGCTGCGCGCCGTCGGCGGAGTGGAATCGGCGAGAGTGGGCGATTGAGGGTTGAGATTGGACGGCAGGTGGGATGCGCCATCGACCTCGGCTCCCTCGTCACTGCGCTCATGGACGCGTCTGCGGGCGGCGAGCCGGCGGGCGACATGCCGCCGCCGGTGGCGCCTGGTGGGGCGTGAGTGCCGCGCGAGGGTGAGAGGCGGAGAGGGGACGCGACCCCAGCACCCTCGCCGCATGCATGCATGGATTGCGACTGTGCGCGTCACACGATTCGCGAGAGAACAGCAGTGTATGCTTCCTCGAGCTCTCGACGTCCCTCCGAGCGACGTCAGGGCACAATTGCGTCAGGGCAGGATCTCATTTTGGGACAGCTGTCAGCTCCCAAGACTCAACGATGGGTCGTTCCTCGTAGCTAGCTAGGACAAAAGGAATTTCACGTAGTCCTTTATTAACGGTTTGTACAGTGTCTATTTCCGCCTTGCACCAACGGATATTAGAGAGCCGTACGCCGCTACGGCGTACGGGTCCGTACGCGTAGCGACCGCTGAACCTCGGGGCTGAACTTGGGCGAGGCAGCGCCGGTCGGCCCGCCATGCGCCTTTACGAGCAGGGGAGGCGCGCCCGTCGAGCAGCTGCACTCTGCGTTCGTCGGCGGGTAAAAGTAAGCAAAGGCCGTGCCGAGCGTGGTGGGGAACTCGACTAGCTCGGGTTTGGAGATGTATGCCTCGTCGATCCGCTGCGACGAGCAGCACGCGAGGAGCACAGCGTCCTCTCGTGGCGGTCGCTTTGCGCTAGCGGGCGGCACGTGCCACTCATACACGCCTCCGGGCGAGGAGGGACAACCTCCCATAAAGTTTAAGTTGCTGCCCGAGGGTCCGGCACCAGATCCGAGAAGATGCGAGGCAGTCCGTCGGCCTCCCCGTACTCGACCGCCATCGCTGCCGCCTCAGCCGAGTCCTCGCTGTCGGGGAAGACGACGAGCGGCCCCAGTCGCCGCCGTCGCTCGCTGCCCCCGCGTAGAAGGAAGCGACACGCCCGTCTGCGAGAAAGGCGAATCCCTGTGTGCCAAACTGCCATCCAGGCTTTGGACCGGAAAGGTCCGCATCCTTGGCGATGGCGCGCACCGCGGGTTTTAGCTCCGCGTCGCCTGCGTCCCTGGCACGGAAGATGTTGTAGTAGCCGGACGCGTCGGAGACAAAGTAGAGCGCTCCCGACGGGTGCCAGGCCGGCTGCAGCACTGAGGTGTCGCCGTCACCGCCCGCCACCAGCGCGTGCGAGGCTGTGTCCGCGGTGGCGCCGCCTTCAAACGGAGCGACCCACAGCCGAGTCGCATCCCAAGGCATCGCACCGAGATCCCCCCATCCCCCCGCGACGTCGGCGAAACGAGAGCCATCCGGCGATGGTCGGGGATGGAAATAAAAGTAAGGCAACTGGGCCAAGTAAGGTAAGGTAAATTTCTCCACACACACAAAGTGGTGGGGCAAGGGGGGGCGACCCTCGCATCTCCACACCCGGACACGGGCAGGAGCCCCACGGCATTCAAAGTGCAAGCACTGGCCCGGTGCACGTGGGTGAGCAGCCTGCCCCTCCCTCCCGACAAACCAACTCCCGCACACACACAATCGCACTCTGGCCATCGAATGACTCCGAATGACTCACTGTGTGTGCTAAGACAGAATCTCCGCAGACATCCAAAACGGGCCGTGCCGCGTTTGTGGTGTCCTCTCAAGCACTAGCATGGGAGGCAGAGGGATGGGGGGAGGGGGGGGCAGAGGTAAGGTGGGGTGAGACTGGGGAGGACCTCAGAGATCCTCCATGGGGGTGGGGTCCGGCTCGAAAAGGTCAAAGTGCTCGATGCCGGTCCCGCCATCGCCGCCGAAAGTGGAGGGCGGCGGCGGCGTGAGCAGCGGTGGCGGCGGTGTGGAGGGGGTGGAGGGCGGCGGCGTGAGTGGCGGCGGCGGCGGTGTGTGGGGGAGGTGGAGGACGGCGGAGGCGTGGGTGAGGCGGAGGGCGCGGCGGCGTGAGCGGCGGCGGCGGCGGTGTGGGAGAGGTGGAGGGCGGCGGAGGCGCGGGCGAGGTGGAGGGCGGCGGTGGCGTGAGCGGCGGCGGCGGCGTGGGCGAGGTGGAGGGCGGCGGCGTCGTGAGCGGCGGCGGCGGCGGTGTGGGGGAGGTGGAGGGCGGCGGAGGCGTGGGCGAGGTGGAGGGCGGCGGCCGTGAGCGGCGGCGGCGGTGGTGTGGTGGAGGTGGAGGGCGGCGGCGGCCTGATTGGCGGCGGCGGCGGTGTGGGGGAGGTGGAGGGTGGCGGCGGCGTGGGTGAGGTGGAGGGCGGCGGCGTCGTGAGTGGCGGCGGCGGCGGCGGCGGTGGTGTGGTGGAGGTGGAGGGCGGCGGAGGGGTGAGCGGCGGTGGCGGCGGTGTGGGGGAGGTGGAGGGCGGCGGAGGCGTGGCTGAGGTGGATGGCGGTGGCGGCTGCGTGGGCGTTACTGCTGGCGCTGCTGCTGTGGCGGCTGCTGCTGCTGCTGCTGGCCGCGTTGCTGCTGGCGCCGCGCCTGCTGCTGGGCGTGCATTTGGCCGCGGGCCTGGGCCGAGACGCCGTGTGCCTGGGGCAGTCGGCCGTGTGCCTGGGGCAGTCGGTCGGCGGCCTTGGACTGGAGCCGGACGATGATGGCGTGAAGCGAGCGGAAAAAATCGAGGCGGCGCTGGGCAGCGACGGCGCCGGTGCCGCCGGCGAGGCGCTCTAGGGCACTTTGTCTCTCTTGTGGCGGTCTCGGCGATGAGTCTGGCGAGGAGGTCGTCACCGTGGCATGTGGTGGGGAATCCAAATCGCGGGCAGGTGATGTAGTGAATGCCATGTAGGTGAAGGTGAATGTTGTCTGCGGTGTATGGTTCTGTGTGTCGCTCCTGTGTGACCGTCAACGTCCGTCTTGCGTCCACCCATACCGCGCTGGTGTCCAGTCCCCAGAAGCCTGGCTGTTCTTCACACTTTTTATGAAGACAAAATGACTCGTGACTGTATACTACCCCTCGGCCTCGCGTGGCCCACGCCGCTCAGCGGTTGTTTCTCAGCGGCCCGAGGCCCTTGCTGGCGCGCAGCCTGTTCACCCGCTCCAGCGCCGCCGCCTCCTTGGCGAGCAGCCGCACCAGCTGCGAGCTAGACACGCCGAGGGCCGCCTGAGTAGTCGGGCGCATAGACCGAGGGGTACTCAGCGGGTCTAGAGCGTGAGCGGTGGCGGGCTTCTCGCCGAGGCACGCTGAGGCGGTTGACGTCGGAGATCTCGGCTAGATCTCGGCTCGATCTCGGCTAGATCTCGCCGAAGCGCCCTTGACGTCTCCAATCGCCCACACCCAGTCGAGCGCCTAGGAGCATTAATTGATTAATTAATGTCCACACCCAGTCGAGCGCCTAGGAGCATTGCGAGATCTCGGCGAGATGTCGCCTCGGCCAGCAGCGCGGGCAGGTCTGCGTGGGTGTCGCTCACGGACATCTTGCCGCCCTTGGCGCGCCTGATCAGCAAGGTGCCTCCTCCAGAGCCCGCGAACGAATTAACGAATTAATTAATCTATCTCTGCCGCCCTTGGCCCTGATCAGTGGGATGCCTTCTCTAGGCGCGCGCGAACCCATTAATCGAGCTCACTGACGACGCGATTCGACCGCGCGCGCCTCCTCTAGAGCCGGCTCGGCTGTATCTCGGCTGTATCTCGGCTGTATCTCGCCTCCTCCAGAGGCCGCTCGGCGCCGTCGGCGGAGGGTCGGTTCGCATGTCGAGAGCGAGGCGGAGGCGGAGGCGCTGCAGCGCGTTGGCGGCCTGCACGGGGAAGACTGAGGGCTGAGGCCTTGTCGTGCACTGCGTCCAGCGGTTGGAGCTACGAGGGCCGAGGTCTGTGCAGAACGCCCCGACGCGTCGTGACCAGTCCGCATCTAGGAATTGCCACGTTCCGCGCCTGACTGCGCTCCTCAGATGCAGAGGCGGACACCTGGGTCGGCCGGTGAGTGAGCACCACGGCGGTGCTCACCTTGTTGCGGTGTTGCCCGCCCGGGCCAGAGCCACGCGTGTGTCGCACGTCGCACTCCTTCTGCAGCTCCTCGGGCGCTATCGTGGCCGGGTGAGGAGCGGCGACCGGCTGGCACGATGGCGGCGCAACGGCCGGACGCTCCGTTGCTGGCAGCGGCTCGGCGCAGAGCGGCGCGCAAGCGCGGCGGCACACCAGCAGCGCGGGCGTGGCGCGGGGCGCGGCGAGGCCGCCGCCGCCAGCAACTGCGAGCCATAGCATTCTGCGATAAATCACGCTGCGCCTACTCGAGTAGAGCTCTACCGCGTATCGAGCCGCTGCACCTTCAGAAAAAATAATTTACTAAAATCTGGCGAGATCCGCCTCTTTGTTGCTCGCTCGCCCGGGCGGAGGGCATGGCCGCGGAGAAGGCGGGCGCGCGCTTGCCAGGCCTTCCGCAGACAGCCTCTCGGGCAGACTGAGGGTCGGCTTTGCGTGGCGTGGCCCGTGCGCTGCGCTGCGCAAAGCTGCGTGTGCTGAGGGAGCATCTGGTGCTTCCTTTGGGAGGTGCGCACCTCCTGCGACTGGTGGAGGGCCGTGCCGCCGCGCGCCTGCTCCGTGGACAGGGCGGGGAGACGGCGCCGCAGCGCCACAGCCTCCGCTGCAAGCCGGTGCAGCACTCTGCTGCTTGGTGGGCAGCCTCCTGGATCTGTGCGCGACGTTCGCGAGGCTGCAGTGGCGCGGTACTGCAAGCCGCGGCGAGTGTGGCGCGCGGCATGCGCGGCGCCGCGCGTGGCCTGGACGGCCGCTGTGGAGCGATGTGGTCAGGGGAACGACGACACAATCAAATGGGACAAGCGCCAGCGGATCAAGGATCAGCACGCCGGCACCAACTTGATTCGTAGATGCGCGTCTCCCCCTCCCCCTATGTGCCGCCACCCCCCTCCAATCCGTAATTCCGTAAAATCGCGCGAAAAGCGCCCTAATCGAGCTGGAGAGCGGCCCCCAGCCGCGTGGGAGCGTGCCCCAGCTAGCAGGAGGCGTTAGACGTACTTTTCGGCGTGAACAAGGCCTTCGGCGACGTCCGTTCCCTTGGACACGTCGACACATGGCACCGACGCAGCTCAGCATTGTGCTGGAGGGTCTGCTCAACGAACTCGGGACAGCCGACCTCAGTACGCTCGAGGCCATGCTCAAGCACGATACAGGCGCAGTGCTCGACGCGATCCGAAGCACCGCTGCAGCCGCAGAGGCTGGTGCGGCGGCTTATGCCAGCTCGGCCACGAGCAATGCTGTTGTGTCCCCAGGCAGCTACCGCTGATGTAATCTCCGCGGAGCACAAGGGTAGCTTCTCCCGCACTCTCGTCAGCACAGACGCGCAAAACACGCTAATGTCTCGGACATCCATGCAGCCGTGCGAGTGGCCGAGTGCTGAGGTGCTGCTCCGGCAGGAGTTGGAAGAGAAGTTGCGGTCACAGACCAAGGAGCTCGCTTCTGAGCAGCGCTCTGCGAGCGCTGTGAAGAAGGCGCTCGCATCGGCGCGGGCTGAGCTTGCTGCGGCACAAGAGCGTAGGCGTTCCGACCGCGACAACCTGAGGACAGCGCAGCAGGCTGCTAAACGCGACATCAAAGCGGCCGAGCGGATGGCCGACGAGGTAACACACGCAGCTCGAGCTGATTTTGAGTGGCGTATCGGCGAGATGCGGGCCAAGATGCAGGCCGAGCTGCGCGAGCAGCTCGACGCGCTGCAGATTTCGATGGAGGCAGAGGCGAGGCGCGCTGATGCCGCAGAGGCGGAGAGGTCAAGGCTGTACGACAAGATGGAGGGGATTATATGCGCACGCGACAGAGGTTGATAGTCGCACTCGCAGCAGCGCAAGCGCGAATATAGTGATTGTTAAGAGATATACGTAGCGTTACAGTCGCACGGTCGTCGCCCTCCCACTGTGTGCGCCGCCCGCGCGGACCCCGGAGAGCTGCTGCGCGTGCACAGACACTCAGACAGCGTTGCGCGAGCATTGGAGAGGCCAGCCTCCGGCTTCTCAGCGTGTCGCGAGTGCTGTGTCTCTGCCTGCCTTGTAGCTGGGTGCGGCGGGGGAGTCTCTCGTGGTTTTTTGTTACACGATTTACGGACTTACGGATTTACGGATCCACCCCCCTCCCTCCCCGTCCCGCGGTCCGGCCGTGAGACGCGCATCTACGAATCAAGTTGGTGCCGGACGGCGAGCGCGAGATTGAATTCGCCGATGTGGATGATCATAACGTGGTGACAAAGACCGTCATGGGAGCGCGGGTGCGGCAGCAGGCGGGGGTGCCTGGCTGGCTCGGGCGGACTGACTCCGCGGCGTCTTTTTTTTGAGAGCGCCTTCGTTGTTAATAATAATACACACGGTCACCGACGGTCATCTGCTTTTGTGAGAGAGGCTTGTATTTTAAGAATTCTTCATAGTAGCGTAGACGCTACCTTCGGGGGGGGGGGGGGTCTCCATCTCCTTACTTACCGGTACTTTCGGTTCCCACATTTTGCGAGTAATGAATGCCCCGTGTGTTCCGCGAGTGCGTGTGCCCCGTCGTCCGTGATAGGACGTGTGTAACACTGACCGACTGACTGTAAGCCTTGCGTAGTTCATAACAAAAGGGCGAAAAAGAAAAACATTCAAGATCTCCCCGAGATCTCAGCTTGATGACCGAAGTTCAAATGGCTCAAGCTAGGCTCACGATCTTCTTTGCCGCCGCCGTCGTCCTCTGCTCGACGGCAGCCTTCACGCCCGCACCGGCGCACTCCGGCCACGCCGCCCGCGCCGGCCTCCTCCGCCACTCGGGTCTCGAGCAGCAGTACACGAGCAAGCTGCGCCAGCACACCGGCGCCGGCTGGCTGCAGCGGGTGAGGCGCGCGGCGGTGTGCGCGCGAGGCGCCCTGTCCGCCACCGCCGCCGCCACGCCCGCTCCCGCCGCTCCTCCTCGTGCGACCGACTCTGGCCGTGCCACCGATCCCGAGGAGGCGGAGGCGGCAGCAAAGCGGGCGGGCGGGCTCCGGCAGATCCTCGCGCGGGCGACGGCGCCGCGGGGGCGCTTCAACGCGCAGGCCGCCGACCCGCCCGTCCCTCCGGCAGGGTGGCTGCGGAGTGTCGATGTCATGGGTCGTGTGTTCTACGTCAACACAGCCTCCCGCGCCACGGCATGGGAGGTGCCTCCGCCCCCCTGCCGCCGTCGCCTGTGAGCAGCGCCTCTTCATGCCTACCGCTGTGAATAGGTGCCGCCCTCAGACCCTCTGCTTCCGTCGCCTGCCTCCGGAGGCGCAGCCGCGCAGCAAGCGGTCGGGCGGCAGCCGAGACTAAAGTGCTCGTGGCAGTTCGAGCGCGAGCAGCAGGATGGGCAGCCTGGAGGCGGATGGCGCAGGGGGGGAGGGGTTCTCATCGCGTCTCGCCGTACTCAGGCGCGGCAGCTCGACGCGGCGCAGTGGCGAGAGGAGCTGCGCAAGCGAGGTGCGAGATTGTATCTCGAGATTGCATCTCGGGGAGGGAGCGGGCAGCGAGGGTTCCTGTCTCTCAATCCACATCCATCCTCCCCAGGCGCCCCCGACATCTACGCCGCGCCTCCCCCGCCCACGGCGCACGGCTCTGCCGACGCGCACACCCTCACAAGCGTTGGATTGAGACTGGTTGAGGGACTCGCTAGGCGCACGGCTCCGCCGACGCGCGCAAGCTGCTCCAGCTGCCCCCCGTCGCTTCCCCCGACTTCGGCGCCTGATCTCTCCCAATCTCCGCGTCGTGACGTTGGCGGTACGCCTGTCCTCCTTCCTGCAGGCCCGGCCCCAGCTGGCCTCGGGCCGCGTTGTCGTGCCGCCTGCCTCGCGGCCTCCTCGTAGCGAGGGGCGGAGGCGTCGGGAGGAGGACGGGGAGGGGAGGGGGGATATGAGGGGGTCGGCGGTGTGCTGAGGCTCCGCCAGCTTCGCTTCGCTGTGGTCCGCGGTGACGCAGGGCGGGAGAGAGGCGGGAGAGGCGCGCGTGCGAGTGAGCGAGGGGCGGTGAGGGAAGACCGGGAGAGAAGGGCCGCAGGGACGGGCATGGCTGCACTAGTGGGTGGGGCGCGGTCAAGTCCACGCAGCCCGTCTACGGGTACCAACGGCTTTTGAGTGTTGTTACCGCTGAGCCCGAGGTTGCGAGGACACCCACAGCGGGTCCCAGCACATACCACATTCGCCATTCCAGTATGGCTACAGGCTAGCCTATCGAGTATGCCGGCGCCAACTTGATTCGTAGATGCGCGTCTCCCCTCCCCTCTATGTGCCCCGGCCGCCAGCCGCCAGCGCCACCCCCCTCGCGCGTCGCGGTGGGCCGGTGGGTTGTTGCACGAGTATATGTGGGACAAAAGCGTCGAAAAATGTCCCAAAAAAGCCTTATGTTTGTTGCAGCCCCACAGCCGGCGCACGCTGCCAGGAAGCACCGCTCGCGTGTCGGCGGCACTCCCTGGCACCCAGTGAGTGCCGCGAACCGACCAGACGGAACAGGCTCGACGCCGCGCTCGCTGTGGGGCTGCAACAAACTCGCCGCCGAGCGTGCCACCGACGGCGTCCCGGCGGAGGTGATGGAGTGTGAGACCTGAGGCTGCGGAGGTGACGCCTGAGGTACCGGTCCGTGCACAGCGACTCAGCCGGCGACCGCCACGGGCTCAGACGAGACTTGTCGACTCGTTCCGGCTCAGCTTCACCGTGGTCCTCGGGCGTCTGTCGACGTCAGGATCACCCATACAGCTCGCGGGTTTGAGGTCGCAAGAGCCAAGATGGTGGCGTTTGGACATCCCAACCATCACACAAGACAGCCTGTAGGTGATGGCGGGACGGCGCAGTGTTTGTGGCACTCGGCAGTAGGCACCCGCGGCACGGCCCCGCTGTCGGCTCTCGCGGGCTGCGGAACCGGCCCCAGAAGGGGACGGTCCGGGCGAGTGTGGCAGCTCCTGCGTTAGTATGGGCACCCTCTATTATAGCACTACTGATCCTGGTCATTAGAGCTGCCAGGGATAGCGTCAGGAGCTGGTAGGAGTCAAAACCCCTCATATTTGAGACATCGTGTCCCCCATATACTCGTGCAACAACCCCGGTGCAACGGCCAACGCGTATTGGCTATTGCGATTTGCGTAATAGGATAGGTAATTCCGTAATGCGTAAAATCGCGCGTGTTCCGTGAAAAGCGCCCCGGCCTAATCCTACCAGCTGCAGAGCGGCCCCCAGCCGGGTTGTTGCACGAGTATGCCTGTCGCTGTGTCGGCTGTGTGTCGGCTGCCGAGCGGTGTGGCGTGTGGCGGTGTGGGTGAGGACACGTGGCGCGCAAACGCCGTCCGAGACGACCGAACTCCTCCGCCACACCCCGCACGCCGCCATGGCCGACGGCCGGTGCGTCGGACTCGCAACTCGGCATGTTCTCCGCCCTGCCCTCGCGTCACAGCCCGAGCGTCGCTAGTCCAACCCCTCCTACCGCCGAGTACCGCTGCAGGAGGAGGGAAAGGATGCCGGCGACCGGCAGCGCGGCGATCAGGTAGATCGCCAGCAGCACTCGCGCCATCCTCGCTGCGCGCTCGGGGCTGCCGTCCACCTGCAGCGCCAGCACAGAGGTCTGCCGAGAGCTAGCCGAGATCCAGCCAAGAGCCAGCCGAGATCCAGCCGAGATCTGGCCGAGGGAAGCCCTCCGCCTGCAGCGCCAAGACAGAGTTCTGCGCCGACGGCATGCAGGACTGCAGCAGCAGCACCAAATCGCGCAGAGGGTCGGCGGGGAGGAGCCCTGCTCGCAGCGCGGCCTGAAACAGGGCGGAGAACAGCAGCGGTCCAGTGTTCAGAGAGACCCCTCTACCAAAGCACCTGCAACAGGCCGGCGCAGAGCAGCGACACTATCTCGGCTACGTCTCCCCCGCATCTCGGCTACATCTCGCATGCAGCAGGGCGAAGGAGAGCAGCGGCACAGCGCAGAAGCGCGCAACCGCGATCGCCACCACGTGCGACGCCGACGCGCCGAGCTCCCCCTCCCCCGCCCTCCGCTGCTCGGTAGGCGCGGCGAGCGATCCGGCGAGCACCTTTAGGAAAGTTCCAAGAAGGCTCCTAGAAGGCTCCTAGTGGTCGGCAGACGCGGCGAGCGATCCGGCGAGCGCCAGCAGCGCTGCCGGCGAGTATGCTTTGCCGAGGGCCTCGAGGCAGCGGAAGAGGGGAAGCCAGCTCTGCAGCGACGGCGCAGACGGCGCAGCGGCAGGCAGCAGCGCGGCGCGGAGCGGCGGCGCCGACCCGACGACTAGCCCGGCCAGACACGCGGCTATCGGAGGGCTCAGAGCGCGGCGTAGGCTCGCGCGTAGCTGCCGCAGCCGCGCCGCCCTCGCGGCGCCGACGGGGAGGGCGGCGGTGGCGGCGGTGGCGGCGGTGGCGGAGGTGGCGGGGGAGAGGGCGGCGGCGGTGGCAGTGGCGGCGGGCTCGGCGGCGGCGGCGGCGGCGGCGGCGGCGGGGGAGAGGGCGGCGTGGCCGGTGAGAAGGGCGTAGCCGAGAGTCCAGAAGAGAGGAGACCATCCGAGGAGGAACATGGCGACGAGAGATGTTGCCCGGCGACGGGTGGCCTGGTCGTTGCATCACGCTCACACACTGTGATTCCTGTCACGTAGTTCCCAGCGCCACGAGCGCGGGGTTCGTCCGCCACGCTGCCGTGTGGTCTCTCCTCGCGGGCCGTTCTAGAAGGCTCCTAGACTCCTAAAAGGTGCGACTCGCCTCCTGCGCCGCCCCTCGGAAGAGCGACGAGACGAAGAGGAGGGGGAGCACGCCTAGCGCCACAGATCGAACGTGCGGCACACACGGGCCAGCCCCCGAGTGTGGTAGCACGTGCTCTCCAATGCATGACGGTAGGGGACACGTGACGGTAGGGGACACGTGCGCTAAGAGAGAATCTGTTGCGTGCGCAGTAGAGCCATATGCAGCGGCGATATATGTAGCGGCGAGAATGTAGCGGCGAGACGAGAGGAGGGGCGAAAGCACGCCTGCGTTGCCAAATGAGGAGAGGACGGAGACGCCTCTGCCCGCCGACGAGCGGCGCGGCAGCCGCAGCAGCGCCAGCGAGACCTGATCAGCAGATGAGCTCTCTCCCGGTGCTCCGCTGCTTGTGGCAGGCCATGCTCGCTACGGCGGGCTGCAGCGACACCGAAGCGACGGACGCGCCGACGGCCACCTGAGCCCACGCGGCGATCGGCATCACCGCCAGCGCCGCGCCCGCCTGCTGCTCGGCGACGGTCGACGCGACAGACGTGAGCAGCATCGCCGGGAGAAAGACGTTGAAGACGACTCCGGCCAGTGATCGTATCTGAGAGCCGGAGAGGTATCCCGCCTTGGTGGCGCCATAGCCGATCGCGCAGCTCGTCAGAAGCTCGGCCATCGAGTCGCGCGTCAGCCGGAGGATCACCGGGTTGACGTCGAGCGCAAGCGCAGCAGCAGCGCCGCCGCCGCCGCCACCGCGCAAGCGCGCGGGCGAGGAGGAGTGCGGCTGCGCGTCGCCGCGCGCGTGGCTCGTGCGAAGCGGCGGGCGCGGGCCGGCGAAGGCCTCGCAGCGCGAGGCGAGGGCAACGGCGACGAGAAGCGACTTCGACTTCATGTGCCCCACACCGAGGCAAAGGCGTTGTGACGTGTGTCAAATGTGTCTTGGTGTGGAGACGCGCCGGCACGAGAGAAAGGATCCGGCATGGTGTCATGTGTACGATCGGAGATCGTGTCATAGTGTGACCGCGCGGAAGAAAATACGAAGCCCCTTTTTCATGATAATACACAATTCTGTCAATTCTGTATTCACGGCGCGGGAGTTCGGCTTCTCGGATCTCGCGCTTTTCGTCGTTCGTGGATCGGTGACGGTGTGCGCATCAATGAACACCCCTGGGGGACGGCGTCAACGAGTGATCAAAAGCGTTTGTTCTAATGTTTGTTCTGGGACCCAGTCCGCGAGGGCGCGTCGGTGCTGCGGTACCGGTCTCCTCGGCTGTCAGTCTGTGCGTTTATCTCCGCACGAGTAGCCGACGAGCGCCGCGCCTCGCTGCACGCGATTGGCGAGTCGTCCAGCCCGTTGATGGTCGAGTTGAAGCGGCGATGGTCCTGGAAGAATGCACCTGGCAGCAGCCGCAAGCGTGAAGGCACCGCGCAACGCGCGTGTGGAAGGAGGGGCCTCGGCCTCGGTAGTGCCACGACTGGCCGAGGCCGTCGGGGCGGAAGACGGCGAAGCCCCGGTGGAGGCGGCACCAGTGCTTGATGATCTGGTCGGACATCGGGTCCCAAGAGCGGTTTGCCTGGGCATTGTGTCGGGCATGCCCCGAGGCATCGGAACCAATCCGAGATGTTGCCGGCCGAGATGCACATGACATGCGCATGTGCACAAACATGCAGCTGTGTTTGCGGGCGATCTTGCTAAGGTCTGGCTGAGATCGTCGCCTTTTGGAAGGCGAAGAGAGAGCGAACGCCAGCCCGAGAGATGGCCATGGCGTGGGCGCACGACGCGCAGCCACGCCCCGTCCTGCGGCGGTGCATTCGACACCGTGTCGCCTCGCTGTCTGTGTGAGAGGCCCACAACGCGTCCAGAGGAGTCATGGTCTGGGTGGTTTTCCCGGCCTTAACTTCGGCCGCCTGAGCAGTGGCCCGGTCTGCACCTTGAGATTGAGACACAGCCCCAGGTACACCATGAGCCCCTCGCCTACTCAGAGCGGTGCGTGTGCAAAGTTGAGGCCATCCGCGTGCAACGCCGCAAAATGCAGAGGCCGTGGGCGCTCTCGTTGGCAGCAACCGCCGCCACGTCGCGCGCGCGTGTCCCGGCGGCCGCCAGGCCGATGTCATCTTCAAAGAAGTAGCCCCATTCGCCTAGGCGTGAAACACATGCATTGGGAGGGGACCGGAAGATCTCGGGTAGAGACTTTAGCTCCAGTCGCCGGCGGTGGGAGAGCGCGCAAAGGTGCTGAGCAGCTTCCAAACGCCAAACACGTTAGACCAGCGGCGCGTGGGGCTGTCGTTGGACAGCGCGGCGTGTCCCGGCACGAGCACCGCCTTGAAGCCGAGACCGTCGAGCAATTCGAATGAATGAATCGCTCGTGGGCTCGACGGGTCCAGCGTCAGAATGAAGGCATGCGGCCGGCGTAGCTGCGCCGTTCCCTCGCGCACTCGGTCGCCCTCTATGATCCTCTCCCGGGCATTGTAGCGAACGAGACGGTCGGCTCCGCCTCGGTGCGCCCTAGCTGACTCCTCGACGATCATACACCTGCACAGTTGAAAAAAACGCATGATCCGTGTTGGCATTGATGTCGCAGCACGCTTGCGTGTTGGAGGGTAATGCGGCGGTGAGAGCCTGTAATTCTCGTTACACCGCTGGGGCAGCTCAGGATCGAGGTCGAGGAGGGGCGGAGACCGTTGATCCGCGCCTCGCTGCTTGCACGTGGTAAGTGCCGTGGCACTGAGCTGCTGCATGTGCCTGCATAACGGAACCGTGATGTTTTACTTTGTGGGCGCCAGAAGTTTTTGCCGCGCCCGGTGATTGCCGCGCCTCCGGGCTCTCGCAGCAACCCGCTGGCGGGCGCGTGCTCCCCCGGTAGCCGACCCCACGCTCACCGCCTCTCTTTCGGCCCTGTCACAGGCGGCACCCCACGCTGAAATTCGCATCAAGGTTCCCTCACCGGTGAGCTAATTTGGTGCTGGCGGCGGAGCCGAGGCATGAATCCGATGGAGCTGCCCTTCGCTGGGAAATTAGATGCCTGATAATCGCTCTTGCAACGCTGAATACACGCGCAAAGCCCCGCAAAGACTGCAGGCGGCACATTTCCAACACGCGCCCCCTCTGACTGTCTTCACACGCAGGCGGGCAACATCATTTCCCTCCTCCTCATCGCCATCTTTGATGCCGCGAGCTCCTCTAGCAAAGTGCGCCGATAAGGAAGGCTAACTGCCGCCAGCCTCTCTCTTACTTGGCCGTGTCGCCCGGCAGGCGCGTTGGTTCTCTGTGCACTCCTTCGCCAATCTGCTGGTGGTGGCCACTTCGATCAAGTCGGTGCTGGTTGTGATGAAGGACCCCTTCAACGCGATGGACTCGCGCATCTACCACGATCGCAGCGTATTTGGCTCCGCCTCGCCGTGGCCGATCTACATCGTAAACGCGGTCCACGTCTACCACATGCTCGCCTTCCGCAACCTCACCTCCGCGGACTACTTCCACCATCTCATGTTCATCCCGACTGTTGGCTTCCTCGGCCAGACCTATGAGTGGGGTGCGCTGCGCAACTTTCTATGCTTCTTCATCAGCGGGCTTCCGGGCGGTGTCGATTACCTCATGCTCACGCTGGTCAAGCACAAGCAGATCGACGTGATGCTGCAAAAGCGAATGTGCGCTGCGATCAACGTGTGGCTCCGCAACCCTGGCATCACGTACGAGGTCGCGATCATGTGGATGGCCTGGCTGTACGAGCGCTCCACCGTCCCACCCGCCGTCATCCTCCTCGTCGCCAGCCTGTCGTGGTTCAACGCGCAGTACTACAACAAACAGGCGGTCGCCAACTACGCCATCGCGCACGTGTTTGGGCGCACCGCCCCGCCCCACCGTCTCACCAGAAGCTGCTCTGAGACCGCGCATGCGAATAGGCACGTCGAGGAACGGATCTCGGTCACAACCGGCCTCAAGGTTCCAGAGTGGGGGCCCGAGGCAAAGAAGCCGCAAAACACGATGTCATGAGCCCCGCCCCCCCTCTCCGCGAAGAGCGAGAGGCAGCCATAGACCCGGCACAGCCCAGAAACCGCGGCGTCAGGCGACGCGCCGCGCGCGTCCACCCACGCTTCAGTACTACGTCGCGATACTCGTAGAGTACTACGAAACGGTTCCCCCTCTCTGTAGTGTATTCTCCGCGCCAGCACAGAGGCGCGTTGGTGGTGTAGTGCCTCTTGCGGACCGGTGTACTTGTGTCGTTTGTCAGTGTCGAAGTTCCTGTGCCGTGCCTGTGGCGAGTGCTGTGCCTGTGAGAACCCCGCTCGTAGGTAGACGTGGAGTCGGGAGAGGGTTGCGCCCCTCTTTTGCCCCACCACCTTGTGTGTGCGGAGAAGTTTATGTATGCAAAAATGAGAGCGTACGGCACATACCGTTGAGTTCCCGGCGGCGTAAAATAGCTGACGCGAGCCCCCGGCGTACAGCCGTTCTTCAGTGCACGTGGTCTCGCCGAAGACCAGGGCCGTAATGTGCACCTCTCGGTCATGTAGGTGCCGTTCACCAGGAGCTTGTAGGTCGTGTTGCGGAAGTCCGCCCGCCCGCCGTGGGCCAGAGGTCTAAGTGCGGGTCCTTGAGTACCTTGGCCCCACATACTTGCTGGAGGATCGAGGTGGTAGTCGGGGTCAAGAATGGATGTAGCCCGCACAAGGCTCAAGGGCCTGCGGCCCTGCGCGCGTTCGCAGAGGAAGAGAGCAACGAGCAGAGCCATCGCGCGCCCAGCTGCAGCTCGGGAGTTGGGCCTCAACAGAGCCTTGCACATTTATGCACACCGTTGCCAAGCGGCGGTCCGACGCAGGCAACGGGACGGCGACCCGGCTGTCGCAAATTTCCGGCGCTTCGGACGCACCACATGATTTAATTAAAAGGGTTGCGAGCAGCGTCTCTCTCCACATCGCTCATCGGGTTCGAAGGTTCGTGGTGCTCTTGGTCGTACTCGTTCTCCGTCACACCTCACACTTGGGGCCACGAGTCGAGTGAATTGACACAAGAGTGCACTCAAACGCAAGCAGGTGGGGGGTCGAGGGGGCTCCCGCACCACACACGCAGACGCACGGATCAGTCCGCCTGCCTAGTCCCCTAGCTAGACCCCCCCCCAGCTCTGGGTCAACGACCTCTGCTCACTGGTCACTGCTGGCCCGTGCGCCTGTGGACTCTCCTCACTGCGCGCCACCCTCTAGACCTAGACCCTCCTCTCGCGGCACCCGCCTCCACGTCTCGCGCCGAATCGGCACCGGAGCGACTTAAGAGACCGCATGCCCCCCCCCCCCCTCCCTCCCCCAAAACAGCACCACCCCTCGGCGATCCTTCGGAGATCGGTCGAGATCGGCGTCTCTACGAGCCGAGCAAGAAGAGCAGCAGCCCGACGGCGGCGAGGGAGAGGGGGGCGACGGGCAGAGGCTTTGCCTACGGATTGCGACCTCACTCACCAGCCGCCCGGCGGGGGGGAGGAGGAGGAGGAGGAGGAGGAGGAGGAGGAGGAGGAGGAGGAGGAGGAGGCGGGGCAGAGGCTTCGCCTCCCCTTGCCCGCGCCCGGGCCCATCCTTCCGGCGAGGGCCTAGTCATTCAGAGTGCACGCACTCCTTAGCTGGCACACCCCGCACTCCCGCCCCCCCGCCCCCTCCCCTTGCGAATGCCAGAATACAGCGGAGACGGCGCCCCGTACCACCATCCGGTCGGGTCCCGCGCCTAATCTCGCGCAACCTCGCGTCATCACGGGTGTGGTCAGCGCTACCCCGCCCCGCCCGCCCGCGCGCCAGATTCGCGACCCCCTGCGCGAGGATCTCCGGCGCGCTGCGCCCGCCTTGCACCGACGGTACAGCAACCGGCGATGTCGCGACCACCCTGCCCGTGTACCCGCCCCCGTATGCCTAATCTCCAGAGGCCCCGAGATGCCCCGAGATGCGCCGAGATGCCCCGGCCCGTGATCCCGCCCCCGCATGCCCCCGCGTACGCCGGAGGAGGAGGAGGAGGAGGAGGCCGAACCAAGCCGCGCTGGCCCGCGAGCCACGCGGCCTTTGCAGCTTCCTCAGTCGGCGCCACCACCGCCGCCTGCGCCGCCGCCGCCGTCTGCTCGCTCCAGTCAGGGTCCGCCTAGTCCCGGGCAATCTCGCGTCACCTCGGGCAACCTCGCGCTCCAGACAGCGTCTGGCCGTCCGCACTACCGCCGCGGCGGGCTGCTGCACGCCGCCGCCGCCGCCGCCGATGCCAAACCGGTCCACGACGTTGGCTTGCACCCAGGGCGTTGTCGCCAGAGCGAGCGAGATGCGGACAGGGACCACGAACCTGGCCAGGTTGACAAAGGCGAACGCCTCTGCGCCCAGGTACGCCTTGTCTTCGTTGTCCGAGAGGTCTGGCCACTGGCCGGTCGCCTGGTGGTACGCGACGAGGCAGACCGGCACCGAGGCAGCCCAAAAGGCGACCTCCCAAAACGCGTAGGAGATCGAGCCGGCGACGCCCGCGGCCTTGACCTGCCGCAGGAGCGCCGCCGCCTTGTTCTCCTCCCGCCCCCCCTCGCCTCCTTCGCCGCCCAGAGCGGCGAAAGGCGCGGTGGGCGTCGCGAGAGCAGCGACATAAGCATCGCGGCCAGCCTGCTCCGCGTCGGCGCCCACAGCGCTCGCGCGACGCCACGCGTCGTCGAAGGCGTCCTGCGCGCGCCGCTGGTCTTCAGGGCTCGCCCTCGACTGCATGTCCACGATGGCAGCCAGCTGCATCTCTGGTGTCCATTCGAGCCACTCTGCCCACCACGCTGGCGCCACACCGGGCGCCGCCACTTGCGGCGCGCCGGGAAGCGGAGAGACGGAGAGGCGGACGGCGGCGCGGCCGGCAGAGGGGACAGGGTGGCGGAGCGAGAGGGCGACGGCGAGCAGCGCCGGGAGCTGGTAGATCATCATAGAACGGCGCCAGATTGTCGAGGTGATGCCAAAAAGAGAAAAAACGGGATTTACACGGGAACACTGCACCTCATTCAGCCACAGACGCCGCAGCGGATTCTCTGTGAAATGAACTCGGGGGCACGGGACGCGCAGCGGCCGGGCGTGTCCTCTGAGCTCTGTCCTGACTTGACACGCGGCGACGGCGACTGAGCAGCCTGCGAGCTCACTGCCCTGCCTTGATTCCTTCGGACCACTAAACCGCTCTACCTATCCCATCCATTACCGTGCCCCATGTTCACGTGCGGCCGTTTTACCAGGCGCCCAACCGACGGCCGCGCCGCGATTTACTCTCGGCGTTCGCCTCTCGCCCTGCTGCAGCATCCGTTCCCATCTCTGGCTGCCGTTCGCCGAGCGCCTCCTCAAAGCATGCGAGAATCTCGTCGCTCTGAAGGTCAGCCTCGAGCACGTCGTCGGCAGCGCGGATGCTCGCCCGGCCGGTCGGCCCTCGAGACCTCACAGTGGCGGCCGCCTCTGACAGCGGCGGCAGCCTCCCAAGCTGGCCACGCATCATGCTGCGCTTCGCGGCAATCGCGTAACGGGAGGCTCGCTGGCTTTTTGTGGCTTTTTGGACGGCTTTTTTGGATTCTCCCGCCCTCCAACCCCTCTCTTGGATTTTTTCTTCATTTTCCTTCTTCTCTTCTTGTCTTAGATTGCCGTCTCGGCGGTAGGCCGACTCTCACAAATTCCCAGCCAAAACAAATGTGTGTGGGGTGGGGTGGGGTGGTGGTGGTGTGGTGTGTGTGTGTGTGTGTGTGTGTGTGTGTGTGTGTGTGTGTGTGTGTGTGTGTGTGTGTGTGTGTGTGTGTGTGTGTGTGTGTGTGTGTGTGTGTGTGTGTGTGTGTGTGTGTGTGTGTGTGTGTGTGTGTGTGTGTGTGTGTGTGTGTGTGTGTGTGTGTGTGTGTGTGTGTGTGTGTGTGTGTGTGTGTGTGTGTGTGTGTGTGTGGTGTGCCGGGGGGGGGAGGGTGGGACGGGTGGAGAGGACGCGGCAACGCGACAAGCAAGGAGGACGCACGAACGCGATGGCATGGCTTGAGGTCAGCGGCGGCGAGCCAGCTTTCCTTGAGGGCAGAGCCTAGGTGTGCGCCCTCCCTGCTACTCCTGACCTCGACCGTCGTGTCCAGCCCCCGCGAAAAGGGCACGCCCAGCTTCTCCAGCTCCTTTGGAGTCGGACGGATAGTCAGCGTCGCCGATGGGCCCGTCACGAACCCTACCGCGGGGGACGGCCGTGGTGGAGGTGTGTGGGGCGCGACGCGGTGGGCGGGGAGGGGCTTAGGTAGGAGCAGCGGCGCACCCTCGCTCCGCAGTGCCGCGTAGGACTGTCTCGAACGCGACGCGGCACCGAGCAGTCCAAACCCCTGCGAGACGGGCGGCGCGGCGCTCACACGGCGACTTTTGGCGGGTTCGTGGGAAAGCGGTGCGCACCAGGAGCCCTATGACCACTGCCAGGAGTCGCCATTCCCCGCCGATCGCCACCCGCCTCCTCGGCTGCCCCTCTGACGAGATCATCCCGAACGATGCGGCTTCCGTCGGCCGGGAAGCGGGACGACCGCAAGTAAATTTGAGCACAGTTTGGCCGATCGTGCAGGAATCTATTTAAAGCACCCCGCCTTCATAAGAAGATTTGCGAATTTTTTATTTAGCGCAAACTCCTTCGCATCGCGGCGCTCTCTCGCGCGCAGGAAGGAGAGAGAAGAGTTTAAACAACAGAACTCTCTCACAGAGAGAGAGGCAGCATGGCGATCTACTACGCCCAGGAGTTGATCGACCGGGTCTCGGAGCAGACCAAGGGGCTGCGCAACGAGACGGCCAACTTCCTGATGGCCTGCGGCGGCGGCACCATGACCCGCCTCGGCGGCGAGGACTGGGAGGCTCCGATGGCGCTGGAGCTCGGCTCGGGCATGCGGCTGGGCGAGCCCGCAGGATGGCACGACTACCTCGGCATCTACAAGCTGGAGTCGCGCGAGGTGAACGGGAAGCCCTGCTGGAGGCACGCCGAGCGCAGCGACCTCTGGCTCGCGTTTGACGGAGTCGGGTGGGCGGCGCAGCCCGAAGACCGCTTGGGCGACCGGTTCGGCTGGCTCCAGCTCCGCGATCCTGGCGCGCCGCACCTCTCCAAGTGCATGTGGCAGGCGGCGCCCGACGACGCTTCCCGCTGGCTGACTCAGCCGGACCTGCGTGCGCGCTCTGTCGCGGTGCCGGACAGGTTCAAGCGCGGGCGGCTGTCGGGGGCTGGGTCGTCCGACTCGCGGTCGCACGTGGACGCGCCGTGCGAGAGCCGGAAGGCGTCCGAGCCGCCGCCGCTGCGGCTGCGCGATTCGGTGGAAGGGGCGAGCGGGGACGTTGCCCCGCCCTCGATCAAGCCTCCGTCGAGGGATTATGTCGCGCGGGCAAAGGGGATGGCGACGTCGGCGATGGACTGACGGGGACGGGGGCGGCGGGCAGCGGAGGGTGGGGGTGGTGGGGTGGGGTGGGGGTGGGGGGGGGAGGAGCCGCCGGGCGGGTAAGAGGGGTTTGTCCTGGTAGGGGAGGGGGGATAGGGGGGGGGGGCAGCGGAGGGGAAATGGGGTGACAGGTGTGTGTGCGTGGCGGAGCTCTGGAGGATTTGGCGGCGGGCCGCGGCGGCTGGGCCTGCGCCGCGGCCCCGCGGGCGAGGGCGGGCAGGCGGGTACCGCAGAGAGCGCCGGGGGCGGTAGTGAGTGAGGAGGCACATGGAGGAGGCGGCCTTGTGGCCGCGAGGCACAGCAAACGGGGAGCGATCACACTGGGGCGCCCCAGCGGCCAGTATTATCGTCGCGAACACGCAATCCTCGGGTCCGTGAACGTGTGTCGTGTGATGTATGTTATTGGTGTGCGCCGCGTCGTGAACCCGCTACCCGGTCCCGAACTTTGGAGGAGTTCTATAAGGAGATGTCATGAACACGCACCAGCCACCACGGCACCAGGCCGCCAGGCCACGCGCCAGCTGGCGCGCAGCTCCGCTCTCTCTGTCTCTCCCGGCACGGCCACGGGGGGGGGTCCGGTGGGCTCCGCTGTGCGTAGAGGCCTGAGCCACCGCTCTCGGTCTCGCGTGTGTCCGTGTGTGCGGAGTCTGGAGGAGTGCTGTGCGGGGGTGTGTGGTCTGTGAAGACGCCGCACCCGCGGCGAACGCGCCGTCCGCGACCCCC